ATATTTATTCTAATTAGATTTTTGTTGTCGAGAGAGAGAGATAGAGGGGCGTAGCGTAACAAAAACGTAAATAATAATAATAATAATATAATAATAATAATAATAATAATAATAATAATAATAATAATAATAAATTAAATTTTTTTGAATAATTTATTTTAAAATAATAATAATAAACACATTCATCATTTTTCTTTTAAAATTTTTTTCAAATAAAATAAAATAAAAAAAAAAATTCAATCGCGATCGTTTAATAATAATAATAATAGTTATATTAATGATAATAATAATAATGATGATGATGATGATGATGATGATGATAATAATAATAATAATAAATAGTATTAATAAAAATATTAAATTCCAACGATTGAAAGCCTCCTTCAATTTTAATTCATAAAAAAAAAAAAAAAAAAAATTTGACGAGGGTTAAAAATCTAAAATTGTAATTTTAAAAAAAAAAAGTTAAAAAGTATTAAATTCGTTATTATTATCATCATCATCATTATCATCATTATTATTATTAATATTATTATTATTATTAATTATATTAAGGCGTGAAAAGAGTTTAAAAGTTTAAAGTTTTGTATATGCATATATAGGAGCGTAGGGAAATTTTAAACGTTTTTTAGGTTTTTTTTTTTACTTACGTCACTTCCGATTCGAATTTTTCTTTTTGTTTTTTGGTTGAAAATGGGGAGGAGGTGCGCGAGTGCGCGTGAGTGATTTTATGAAAAAATTTTATGAATCATTTATTTATTAATATTTAAATGGTTTCATTTGATTTTACAAAAAAAAAATTTTTATTAATCTATAAAGCAGGGAAATTTTTTCTCTCACTCTCTGGGTCGTTGATAATTGTCGCAGTTTTTAAAAATGGCGGGAAATTTTTTTTAAAATTAAGATTTTTTTTTTTAAATGGCCGCCATTACAGATACGTAGGAGTACAGTAAAAAAAAAAAATGAAAAGATGAAACCATCCAAATGTTTTTTTTTTTTTGTGTTAAGGTAGGATTTTAATTTATTAAACTTTCAGTGGTTAAAAATAGTAAAAGAATAAAAAAAAAAGAGAAAAAAAGAAAGAGAAAGAAAGAGAAAAAGAGAGAGAAAGAAAATTTTGTTTTTGTTTAATTTATTGGGAGTAAGAAGATTTAAAGCCAGAAAAGATAAAGAAAAAAAAATTTTCTTTTTTTTTTTTTACACTTTTGGGATTCTTCGACTTTTCCTTTTTTTTTTTTGCCCTTTTTTCCTCCCCATTTCTTGTTTTTTCTTCTTCTTATTTTCGTTGTTACTACTAAGTTGGGATTTTGTATTCTTAAAATTTTTTCTTTCTTTTTTTTTTTTTTTCCATAATTACGTCTAATGACACGACACTTTAAACCGAGGAAAACGGGGGAAATGTTAAAGAATGGAAAATAATGAGGTCCTTCCTGCAAAAAAAAATTTTTTTTCCTTCTTTTTTTTTTCTTTTCGTTATTATTATTACCATTATTATTATCATTATCATTATTATTAATATTATTTTCGTAATATTTTTTTTTTGAGCATAAATAAAGTTTTTGTTCGAACGACTCACTAGCAGCTTATCGTACGTTAAAAAAAAAAAAAAATTCGTTTTCGGACGTAAATTTAATTTGTCAAAATGAAAAATTTTCTTTTGGGAATTTTTTAACTTGAAATGAAAATTCCCAAAAGTTTTCGAAAAAAAAAAAAACGGGGGGCAGGGGGCAAGGGCTAGGGCAGAACAGAAAGGGAGGTAGAGAATCGAATCGGAATAAAAAAAATTACCAAAAAAAAAAAAAAACTCTTTAAATTAATTCCGGTTTTTCACGTCGTAAAATAATTATAGCAAAAAAACAACATGCACACACGCACACGCACACATGCACGCACGCACTCACTCATTTTAAACACGCGCGTAAATTTAAAAAAAAAATGGCGGATTAGAAAATAAAAATAAAAATTAAGAGAATATTTAAAAAAAAACTTTGATTAGTTTAATTTTTTTTGCGTGTGCGTTTGCGTTTAAAATCGCGTAAATTATCATCGCGAATAATAATAATAATAATAATAATAATAATGTATTTCTTTCGAAACGTGAAAAATAAATCAGGGGTAGAATTAAAACAACAACAACCCGACAACCACCAGGCACCATCACCGTATCGACACAAAATTTTCGAGAAAAATAAATAGAAAAACAAAGAAAATTTTAACGGATTCGAATTTATTCGGGAAAATTTAGGCTTTAACTTTCACCCAATAATAATAATAATAATAATAATAATAATAATTTATAAAATTCGAGGCATTTCATTATATTATTATTTTAATCTTTTTCGTATTTCTTTCTTTACCTTTTTCCAACGCCTTCTTTTTCGTGCCACCCCTCCCGTTGTTTCCCGTCCCCCCCTTCAACTCCCGTCATTTAAAATTTTCTCTCTTCTGCATCATTTAAATACGCGTTTTCCCTTTTTTAAAGTTTTAAGAGGGAAAGGTAGGGAGAATTTTCCCGATTTTTTTTTAAAAATTGATTTTGCAGATTTTAAGTTTTCATGCAGGGTTTGTCGTGTTGTTAAATATAAAATTTTACCTCCATTATTATTATTATTATTATCACGATTTTCTAATACGACGTTAAATTTTCTTAATTATTTTACTTTTAACGACGATGATGATGATGATAATGACGTAATAAATATGAATATTCATAGCTTGATGACGTCAAAAAATTTTCTTTGCAAAAAAAAAATGACGAATGCCCGATGAAAAAGCGTTCGAAAACGATTTTAAAAAAAAAAAATTACTTTTAATTATTATTATTATTGTTTGTCGATCGCGTTTGTTTGTTTGTTTTTCGATGGTTAAAAATTAAAATATTCGAAATATTTTTTCTCTCTTTTTTTTTTTTGGTTAGAATCGAAAGAAAATTTTAAAAAGTTTTTTTTTTTTTTTTTGTAAAAACTTTATGATCCTTTACGATCCCACGAAATTATGGTAACAAAGTTGGTAACACTGTTTCATGCGTGCATGTTCTCCCACATTTATTATTATCATTGTGTTTCGTATTACGTATTAAATAAAATTGCATTTTTTTTTTTTTTAAAATAAATTTTTAGTTTACTTATCGAAGAGTATTAATAATAATAATAATTCGTAGATATATTAATTAATTAATAATAATTATAGTATTAATAATATATATGATGATGATAATAAGTGGTGAATAGTTTTGTGAAAAATTAATAATCGATAAATAGTGTTTCGATATTATCATTTAATTACATATTGGATAACTGATAATAACGGAAAAAAATATTCGATTTTATTTCCGGTAAGTTTTATTTCGAGAAAATTCTTTTCTTTTTTTTTTTTTTTTTTATAAACAATTAAAATGATAAATTATTTTTTATATTTTCAGGTAGTGTGAAGAAAAGTGTTATCACAAATAATTTATCAGATGCCATAAGTCTTAATGAAGGCCCTAATGGGCTGGCGGAAGCCCTGGACCGGGGGAACCGACCGAACAAATCTACACGTAAGTATTTTTTTCTTTCTATTTTAAAGAGTGGATGATTTTAACAAACGATTCATTCCTTCATTCATTCATTCATTCATTGAATTAAAAAATGTTTTTTAGTAAAAGTGAATGAATGAATCGGAAAAAAAAACGTTAATTCGTTTATACGATTCGAACCTACGTCATAGGAAAAATTTTTTTTTTTAACGAGGTTGGCGAAACTAGTTGGCGGTGAGTCCGCCATTTTGATGACGCCATTACAAAGGTTTTTAATTTAATTAAGTGAAATTTTACAATGGAAAGAGGGAGGAAAACAAAAAAAAAAAAAAAGTATTCGACGACGTTAAATTTTTTTTTTTTTTTTTTAAACTACGAAATTCTAGAAAATATTTTTTTTTATTTTTCCGAGTGAAAAAAAAAAGAAGAAGAAAAATTGTTTTTTTTTCTATACGATTTACTTTTCGTTCGATTTAGAAAAAAAAAGAAAAAGAATTATTTACCGTGCGAATTATCTTAAAACATTTTTTACATTTTTTTTTTTTTTAAATTTTCTCTACTGAAGAATAAAAAAAAATAAAAAAAATACAACTTTATGTATTTTCTTTTTTCTAATTTTTTTTTTTTTTTTTGATTTTCGTTTGAGAGTAACGAAGCAGCAAAAAAAAAAAGAGAAAAAAATTTTTACGGGATAAAAAACAAACATTTTTATTACTATTATTATTATTATTATTATTAAATAAATGTAAGACCGTTGAACTTTATTTTACGCTTTTTTCCCGATAAAAAAAAAATGAAAATTTTATTTTATTTTTTTTCGTTTGTTGAAAAACGTTAAAATTTCAAGTCATTTTTATCAATAATAAATTGCAAAAAAAAAAACGAGTTAGTGACACGTTTAATTTCATTTGCCACGACGAGTTTGAAAAACTAAAAAATAAAAATCTTTTTTTTTCCAGTAAATAAATATATTAATTATTTAAATTTAAAAATTTTAAATTAAATTAAATTTTCAATTTAAAAAAAAAAAAATTTTTCTGTCGAATAATAATGATGATTTCCCCTTCCCCTCCCTCCTCCATTTAATTATTTTAACCACTTTTTATAATTAAAAAAGTTTTGAATATGAAAATAAAATTTATAAATTTACGCCAAATATAATAAATATTAAATTACTCAAATTGTAACAAAAAAAAAAAAATTGCGCTTAATCTGAATGATTTATTATAATTATTATTATTATTTGTACTTCGACAGATGTCCTGACGAGAGCAGAATGAGCTCATCTGAAGAGGAATATGGAAGAACAGAACGTCCACTTCCCAAGCCTTCTCTTTCAGCTCACTCACATGCAAAGAACAAATATTCCGAAACCTCAGGAAGGGGGGTTTCAGAATCGTCAGGAGTATCGAACCGGTATTTGGATTTTACCGCGGAAGGAAGACTCGGGTTTCAAGAAAATGCATCCGCGTCTTTGCGATACAATGAAACCGGTAACGGAAGTCAAGCCGTGTTTTCACACGGTTGTGAAAATGGCCGATATTCTGCATCGAATAGCAGAAGTAGTTCTCCTCGTTACAGTGATCAAACTAATACGAGATATTCTGAACCTCCAGAAACAATTATTCGTTATCCGACCGATAACAGAGGAGAATCCGGGAGAGGGTCAAGATACGGCGAACCTAGCGGAAATTCTTATATTGAAAATCCGGGAAAGAGTAATAGGTATTCGGAAGGTCGTATGCCTAACGGCGAAGGAGATATTTACCCGACCGAAACCGGTGGTAAATATTCAAGTTCCTCGAATGAGAGATTTATTATTTCACCTTCGTCGGAACCAAACATGGAAAAGTACGGGAAGAATGATCATTATTTGCACGGTGAAAAAGCAGAAATTTCTGTTAGCGAAAGAAACGGGAGAAGCGTGGGTGGAAATTCAAATCGCTCGACTGATAGATATTACACGGATAGAATTCCCGATAGGTCAGAAAGAAATCACGAACGCTTGGAAAAACAACACAACGATCGAGTCCCTGAGAAATATTTACCCAGTAGTGATAGATACATCACTCACATTGCTCAAGAATCGAGCTGCACCAAGGGAAGTGATAGGTATTTCACGAGTGAAAGGAATTCTGATAGATACGGCGGTACTTCGGAAAGGAACTCTGAAAGATATAACGACGAGTATTTACAATCAGCCGATAGGATTTCAAGTAGTGATCAATTCGTCGGTAATTCCGACGCCTATAGGTCGAATGAAAGAGGTGAAGGCTACCGATCTGATAGATTTTTGTGCTCGTCTAATTTGGAAGACGTTCAAAGGTTTGATAGATACTGTACTTTGCCTAGTCATTCTGATAAATATAACAGGAAGACTGCCACTGAAAGATTTGAAAAAAGTAGATACTTACCTCCACCGGCACCTGCTCCAAGTGAGAGGTACCACCCTCCTGAACGCTACATTCCACCCCCAGCCCCTAGCAACGACCGTTTTAATGAATCCATTAGAGAAAGATTCATGGAAACGCCTTCAAAAGACAGATATTCCGACCGATACATACCCCCTCCGGCTCCAGAACGTTTTATTCCGACTTCTTTTGACGCTTCCACACCACACCGATCAACCCCGGTGATCCGTACATGCGAAGAGACCTGGGATATCATCACCATTATCGGTTGCCTCATCCAAATTATCACTTACATCATCAGCAATCGGCTTACTACCACTCTCATTATCAAAGAACACTGCCTCATAGGTCTTTGGGATCGTATCATCATCATCACCATCATCATTCGATTCTTCCGTCGCCTAGCAGAACGCAATTACGATGCTGCCCGAGCCCGAATCCTTACGTACAGCCAGAAGATCTCAATGCCGGAAATTCCAATTCATCTCATTCCGCTAATGTTTTAACCGCCAATATTACCGGACCGAGTATGCCAGTGTTGGCTGCAAGCCTTACAAACGGTCAAAGTTTAAAAAGTTTCAGTGCCAGCGTAAATGTGAACATTGTTGCCGCTCAGGGTACTAACACGTCGTCAAGAGAAAGAGAGAGAGAATATATGCCTCCCTCTCCTTCTCCGTTGTTAACGAATCGCGGTCGACCACCACCTTCGGGAAACGCGTCGCGTATGCCTTCATCATCTCACGTAGAAAATGCAATATCGAACATTGGTAGACACGCGTCGACACCGACGCCACCGCCTCCCTCGTTACCGAGATGTAGTAGTATGTCGAATTGTGAATTAAACGGGGATAATACAATGTGCAAGGTGGATCATAGCCACCACCATTACACGCCGGCAAGAAGATCCTGCAGCGGAGCATTAGAACCGGGAACGTCGCTAACTCTATGCTGCAGCTCATCGAAACGTTCAGGAGGAAATACATCCGCATTAAATCTATCGAACGCAATATCGACAAATCAATCGACCTCGGGTTTAAATCATTCTCTGGGCACGTTCGCGGACAACATTCCAAAAGTGCCAAGTATCGGTGCTCTATCAACATCGACCGGCGGAGAAAATGGAAGACAAGGAGTGTCCGTTTCTTGCGTTGTCACAACAAATTCTCACACTCATTCAACAATTTGGTAAGTTTCCGCTTTCTTTATCTAAAAAAAAAAAAAAAAAAAAAAAATTAAATTATTATTTATTCACTGTTTCCGGTTTGAAATCCTACACGTTCGCCTCACACATCCAAAAGTCGTAAAAGAATCGTAATTGTTTAAAAGTTGTTCCGGAAAGATAAAGACAAATTAACCATAATAACGGTCACAAAAATAATTTTAAAAATTGCTAGAGTTCTTTTTCATTATTATTATTATTATTAAAATCGTTTCGAAAATTCAACAATTTAGTCCTTTATTATTATTATCATCATTATTATTATCATAAAATAATATCAAGACCATTATTAAAAAAGAAAAAATTATTTATCGCCGTCTTGTGCTCAAACTGGACAAAAGCTTTTGTTCCCCTTTTTTCCTTTTTCTTTCAATCAAAGGATTCCTTTTAAAAATTTCCTTTTTTTTCCCTTTTTTTAAATTGTTTCCCTCGGTTTTTTTTTTTATGTACTTATTTCTGATAATATCACATTCATTTTACTATTATTATTATTATTTTTTTAATGATAATCATTTTTATTTTATTACTCTGTTATTATTATTATTATTATTATTATTTAAATGACGTAGAAGGAAGGGGTACTCAAGCGGGTAGTAACAAAACAAAAAAAATTACCGTTATAATGATGTAATAATAATAATAATAATAATTGTCCCGTTATAGAAAACGATTCGAGTTTTATTTCTGCTGCCACGACGAAAAAAATTATTTTTAAGTCTCTTTCGTTTTTCGATAGAATTATTATTATTTCATATCACGAAAAATAATAATAATAATTCGATTGAAAATTTTTTTTTTTTTAACAATTTTTTACGGGGGGGGGGTGAGGGGTGGAAAAAAATTGCATTTGAATTATTAATAAACATGGCATTTAAATCAAGTTAAGGATTTAAAAAAAAAAAAAAACCGATCCCGCGGTTGTTCCCACGGGAAATTTTTTTTTTTTTTTCTTGCATTTTTCCAAAAGTGTCATGTCTTCTTATCCCTATCCAGAAAATATGCCTTCTGTCCCGTTTCCCATTTTTTTTTATTTTATATTTTATCTCATATTATACCCGTAATTTTTTTTCTTCATTCTTTCTCTCTCTCTCTCTCTCTCACTTTCTTTTTTTTACCACAATTTATTCTCTTTCTCACTTTTTTTTTTTTAAAAAAAAAAAAAACAATTTTTTTTGTCATTCATTTAATAAATTGAATACGAACAATTTAAGAGAAAGAAAGTAAGAGAGAGAGAGAGAGAGAGTATGAGAATGAGAGAGAAAGACATATACGTGCCTCCCTGCCTTTTTATAAGTGGTGAATCTATTTATATAAATATATTTAAAGTTTAAACGATGAGAATGAGACATTTTTTTTTTAAAAGGAAACGATTAAATTTTATTTTTATTTTATTATTTCGGGGGATCCCTTTTTTTTTCTAACCCATTCTGGGGGGGGGGGTTCGCTTCAAATTTATCGCCTTAAAAAAAAACCATCAATTAAATTTTTAACTCACGACGAACTAAATTAAAAAAAAAAAAAAAAAAAAAATTTTCAATTTGAATTCGACTCGAATAATTAAATGTTTATTATTATTATTATAATTATTATTATTATTTGTTACCGTAGGAATGCGTAATAATTAAAAAGTTTTTTAAAAAAAAAAACAGTTTGAAAGTTTATAATTTAATTAATAATAATAATAATAATAATAATAATTTTTATTGTTTATTTTTAACGACGTTTATAAAATTATTGTTATTATTTTTTTTTTCTAGAACAAATTATTAATAGAAAAAAAAATGTCGATGTAAAACCGTTTTTTTTTATTTTACGTTGAATGATGGGGATAGTGATGATGATGATGATGATAAAAATAGTTTTTCTTATTTACATAAGATCACGTTAGGGACTTTTCTCTCTCTCTCTCTTTCATAATTATTTTCGAAGTTTTGATTATTTCATTTCGTGTTGTGGAGGGTTAAAAATTATTTTAAAAACATTTCGCGGTTTCCGCCCCCCTCCATCCCAACCCACCCCCTCGTTATTTTAATCAATAACAAAACGTTTACGTTTTATACGTGCGTATAAATAAATAAAAAAATTTTTTTTTTCTCTTTCATCTCCCCCCCCTACTTTCCACCACCACGGTTCACGAATTCATTTTTTGAAATTTTACGTAGAAAAAGAAAAAAAAAGAAATTTTTTTTATGGCTTTATATAATTTTGCACATGGCGCCCGTCATTCACGTAACGGCCAAAAAAAAAAAAAAAAAATTGTTTTCCATTAAATTTTTCTTATTTTTCCTTTAGTCTTATTGATACTTTAAAAAGAATAAAATTTTTTTTTTTTGGGGGGTAAAATGAAGGAAAAGGTAACAAAAGTTGAAATTTAACTAAAGGGATCGCAGGGAAATTTTGGACAAAAAAAATGGAGGACAACCGACGAACAAAACGACAACAAAAAAAAAAATTCCCCGGCGATGAGAAAAAAGTCGCCCGAACGAAATAAAAAAAATCGAAATTTTTTTTATTATTTTATAAGAAAAAACCGTTAACGCATTATTATTAGCATAAATAAAAGGAAAGAGAGGAGAGAGGTATAAAAGGTATTAAATATCGTCTGCTTATCAACCCGTTCGTTTCCTCTTCCCTTTTTCTCTCTCCCTCTCCCCCCCGACCCTTCATCGCATTATAATATTTAATTATATAATTAAAAGATTAATTTTCCATTTTAAGAAAAAAAGCAAAAAAGGGAGAGTGGGGGAGGGGGTAAGGAGGATAAATTTAAACAATCAAAATTTAAGAAATTTGAAACCTTGGAAAATTTAAAAAAAACGCTCGCGCGCGAAAATAGGAAAATGTTCAAACCTTTTTTTTTTTGGAATTCGATGAAGCCGAAAGAAAATTTTCTTTTTCATCGTCGTTAAATAAATTGATTGATTTTTATTATCATTTCCGTTCGCGCGCGCAAAACAAAAAAAAAAAATTTTTCTAATTACACGATTTCGACACGAAATAAAAAAAAAATTTTCATTCATGAACGCACTTAAAAATCAGAAAACAATAATAATAATAATTTTTTTTTCTAATTAATAAAACGTATTTTTAAAAATTAATAAATTTACAAAAACGATAATAATAATAATAATAAGAAGAAGAAGAAGAAGAGAAAGTTGAAAAAATCGTTAACGTCTTCTGCTTTTTTCGATCGGAAAAAAAAATTAATAATAACTCGATGGATTTAAAAGCATGTGAGAGTAAAAGGGGTTTAATAAAGTTTTTTCCCGTTTTTCTTATTTAAAAAAAAGGATAATAATTGTTTCCGGTTTATTCTCTCTCGAAAAAAGTTCGTGTCATTAGAAATTGTGACGTCGTGATGATGGAAAGGAATAAAATTTTTTTTTTTTTTGTGACGGAATTCTTATGGTGGGATTTACTAAGACAAAATATTTTATTTATTTATTTATTTATTTTTTTTTTTTACGTTTTCCGCATTTTCATTTTTCTTCGCTTTTTTTTTTAATTATGAAAAATATTAAAAAATCGGAAAATTGAAAAATCAAAAAAGAAAAAAAAAAAGAAAAAAAACATAATAATAAAGAAACTAATAAAAAAAAAAAAAAAAAAGAAAAAATCTTATTAGAAGTAAAATTTATGTTTTTCATCTTGAGGTTTTATTTTCTATCTCTCTCTCTCTTTTTCTATTTTTCGATTTTTTCATTTTCCATCTTTTTTTTTGCTTTTCTCTCCCTCTCTCTCTCTCTCGTATTTTTCCTCTCATCGCTGTTACGTACTCTCTCCTCCTCCTCCTTTCATTCCTCTTCTCTTCATATCTTCTTTTCTATCTCTCTTTCTCTCTCTCTCTCTCTCTCGCTCGCAATTTTTTACTTTTTGTCAAAAGTAAATTGATCTTGACAAATGCTCGGTTCATTTTCCAGATATCGTACGTATAATTTTTTATTTTTTTCATCGATTTTTTTTTTTTATTCGTTTTCCAGATGGAAAACGTTTCGGTGGTAATAATACATTTATTTTCAACACATTTTATCTCTCTTACGTAAACACGTATAAATAAGTCTCTCTCTCTCTCTCTTTTTCTCTTTTGGTCTTTTCCTTTACCTCAATCGTTAAAAAAAAAAAATTTAATTTAAATAAATTATTTTATAAAAAACAAAAAACTCTTTTCCCGATTTTCCACACCCCTCACCTTCCTTCTCTCTCTCTCTTTTAATCTTTTTTTTTCTCTCTTTTTCTCTTTACGTAAACATCCCCCGCATGATTATAAATGACGTCATTAACAAATTTCCTACGTAAATTTTTTTTTTTTTTACATCGGAGGGGGAAAAATAATAATAATATTCGTAATAGGTTTAAAAAAAAAAAATGGAGTTGTTTATGATGACAACGAGAGGTAAAAGGTCGTTGTTTCGTCATTCGAACCTTTTCAACACCATCTCGTAACCTCCTCCTTTTGCAAAAGGAAATAAATCAAACCTTTTTTTCTTTTTTTTTTTTATTGAATTCGTCGAAACCTTTTGAATTGATTTTTGACTAGAGACGTCTGACGTGGTTTTAATAATTATCGATATTATTATTATTATTATTGTTAAGTTTAAACATTTTCCGTTTGTAATTGGATTAAATGAAGTTGTCGTCGTTGTTGTTTTTTTTTTCCATACAAATGACGAGAAATAAAAGACAAAAAAAAAAAAGTTCTAGAACAAAAGAGAAAAAAAAGAAAATTACAGAGTTATATAAAAATTGTAATTTAAAAAAAAAAAAAAGAATTTTTAACAAGGATTGAATTCCCTGGATTTTTTTTTTGTTTCATCCCAAACGTGTTGTTATATATATATATACTTGGGGTAAACATTGTGTTTGTTTTAAAAACATTATGTTGTTTTATGTTGTCATGTTATTACTACACTCATGCCATTTTTTTTATCCATTTCGCAAGTACAAAAAAAAATATTTTTTGCTTTCGTGTT